GTCTTTTTGAGACAGGGTCTCCCGGTAGCCCCAGCTGTCCTGGAACTCACTATGGAGACCAAGCTGGCCTTGAACTCACAGAGATCCCGAGTGCTGGGATTAAAGGCGTGCACCACCACGCCCAGCTAATTTTATTTTTTATGTGTATATGTGTATTGCCTGCATGTAGGTAAGTGCACCCGTGTCGTGCAATACCTGCAGAGGTCAGAAGAGGCTGTCAGATTCCCTGGGACTGGAGTTAGAGACCGTTGTTAGCTGCCATGTGGGTGCTGGGATTCAAACCCGAGTCTTCTGTAAGAACAACTAGTGTTTTTAACTGCTGAGCCATCTCTCCAGCCCCTGTGTTTTATTTTTTGAGACAGGGTCTCACTATATAGCTGTGGCTATCCTTGTTGAACTACTTTGCTCCTGACTCTACTGCCTAAGTGCTGGGATTCCATGCCTGGCTGCCTTTTTTTCCCCCTGGAGTGCTAAGGGTTGAATCCAGGTCCTTGCACATGCCAAGCAAGTGTTCTACCACTAAGACATCCTGAGCCTGAGACCCTGACTCTTAAAAACAGGAAAAAAAAATCATTAGCTATCTCTGAACATTAAGGGACCCTGGGCCCCTTAATTCATAGCCTTTGGTTTTGTTCTTTTTGTTGTTTTACTTCTTTCTTTCTTTGGAACAGGCGCTCCTGTAGTCCAGGCTGGCCTTAAACTTGTGATCCTACTATAGCCTTAGGCTCCTGAGTGCTGGAATTAAAGGTATGTTGCACCTTGAGAACAATAGTCCTTGGTAGTGAAGACACCTGTCTATGAGGTGGAGAAAGGCACTGCTCCAGGGACAGTGAATGCAGGGTTCCTGACCTGGTGAGTGATGGCTTGGTGGTTGGGCCTTGGTTCTGGGAAAGCCTGAGCTAATGGAACCTCTGCAGTCCTATAGAGCCAACAGCACAGACATGCTGTGCACTTTATCCTGTGGGGAGGTGTGTCCAGGCTGTGGCCTCTTCCAGGGATCCCTGAGATCAAGAGAAGGGTGAAATGGAAGTTCTTTCCTCAGTTGCTGGGTACCTGGCTTGGAGCTCATGACCATGGACTCTGCATCTCTGTCCTGCCTGTGTGAACCTTTGGCTTTGTGAAGAGGGCTTTTTAGCTGGCTTTACTTAATTTTGGTTTGTTAACTTCACAGCATGTTTCTGAAGCTTTCTTTACTTCTTGCTTTGTATCCTTTGTTTCTTAATTTTTTTTTCTCTGTCATCTTTTTTTTTTTTTTTTTTTTTTTTTTTGTCTTTGAGACAGGGTCTCCTTGTAGCCTCAGCTGTCCTGGATTCACTATGGAGACCAGGCTGGCCTCAAACTCAGAGATCCGCGTGCCTCTGCCTCCCAAGTGCTGGGATTAAAGGCATGCGCACATCCAGCCTTCTCTGTCATCTTCTTTAGCTTAATCTCAATCACTGTCTTTTTCTCTTTCTTCCCATCCTTTCCTCTCTCCCTTCTCCCTCCTCCCTTCTTATCTCTCTTTCCTGTCTTTGTTTTTTTAGAAAGACTTACTGTGTAGCTCAGGCTGGCCTCAAACTGCAATGATCCTCTTGCCTCCATCTCCTGAGTGTTGAGATGATGGGCATATGCCATTAAGTCCGTCACATAATTTCTAAATAAAGCATATGTGTGCATACAGTGCTGATGAAGGTAGTTGTATCCCGAGCAGGTGTAATTATGTTTTCTTTCTTAACAGTGCTCTTAAAGCTGTGAACTTAGGTGAATACCTGCTTCTAAAGTGTGAATACAAAGGAATCCTGACAGTTACTATAGAATTTGTACATTGAGGTTACCTAGTAGATCCAGTAACTAAGATTGCACTTCCTCCTCCACAATGTTCACACTTTACAGTACAAAATAACAGTAAGAGCAGTCTTAGGGAACAGGGCACCTCCTGAAGTGCAGGGATTTCAACTCCATTTACTCATTCTGAAGAATGACAACAGAGATCCTAGGATCCACTGTTATGCAAAAACTACCAGAGATGGGACTGGTGAGATGGCTCAGTGTTAAGATCACTTGCTGCTCTTATAGAGGACCAGGGTTCAGTTCCCAGCACCCATGTTGGGTGGATCACAACTGTTTGTAACTCCAGCTTCAGGGGATCCAGTGCATATACACAAGCACATAAATAAACAAAAACTACCAAAGATAAAGATAAAAAAGAATCTCTTTGTGTGTGTGTGTGTGTCTTTTTGAGACAGGGTCTCCCTGTGGTCCCAGCTGGTCTGGAACTTGCTATGTTGACCAGGCTGGCCTCAAGGTCACAAAGTGGCCTCCCAAGTGCTGGGATTAAGGGCGTGTGCTAACACACCCTTAGGATTCATTTTTAGCTCACTGTTTTGGTGGTTTTGTATTATAAATGTGTCACCAAGCCTGGCTGAGTCCGTCTTTGAAAAAAAGTATATCCATCTCATTAGTATGCAAATTTGCTTTCCTCTTTAACAAATAGTAGAATTATGTATGTACCAAAGAATTGTTCTAAAAATAAATTTATGATTATTTTCAATAAATGTTTAATCTGTATACCTATTTTATATACCCATATACCCCAGCATCATATAAAAATTTCAAGACACACCTCTAAAAGGTCATGAGTGAAAAAAGTTTAAGAAAAGCCTTGCCCTAGAGTTGGGATAGAGGACCAAGGAAGAACTGAATTCTCTTTCAAGAACTGAGGTCGAGTTCTTTTTGGAGAAAACATGGCCATGACTCTTGGAATGGCAGAGAAGTCATCAAATGCTTGTTACTACAAGACCACCCAGGAAAGAGTACTGATTAAAGCTGCTGACCATGCCCTGCGGGAATGGGAGCAGGACTTTGGGATCCTGCCCAACCTCTGGAGAGTCCCTACCCTCCGTGGTGGCTCACTAGCACCCTCTACCGACAAAGAGGAGTATCATGAACAGTTTTTAAAACATGGGAAAGTTTCAGTTTTTTCAGAAAGGCAAAAGTGAATTTGGAGTTGAGAGACAATACGTTGATAACGTTCACATTTATATGTTGATTAGCTCCAGTTTTACACTGTTCAACCTAAATTGCTCAAATATCACTACTTACATTGCCTATTTGCTTTCTCAAACTTAAGACACAGAGCTCTTTTTCCTCTCCACCCCCCACCTTATCAGCCTTTCCAGTCTTAGAAAATGGCTGCACCATGCACCAACTAGCAAAAACCTGACAGTCGTCTTTCATAGTGTCACTTGTCCAAATCACCGTCTTTCACCAGTGTTGCTACAGAGATCTCTTGGTTTAACTGGGCCCCTGATTACCTCTTGATTACCTAGTCCTGACAGAAACAGCCTAAAAAGGAAAACTTTATTTTGGCTCATGGTCTCTAGGTAGGTTTAGTCCATCGTAACATAGAGAGCTGAGGGTCTCACTATGTAGCCCTGGCTGACCTGAGCTCTTTATACAGACCAGGCTGGCTTTAAACTTCTGGTGATCCTTCTGCCTTTGCTTTCCAAGTGCTGTGATTATAGGTATGCATCACCATGCCCAACTCCAGGTGCTTGTTTCCTTTCTTATTCTCATGTATCATAAAAGGGCTATCTCTGTCCAAATTACATCTTGTTTCAGGGTCAGCATTTTGTTTCACTCAGACCTTTGACTAAGTGAGGCCCACCCATGCTATTGGGTACAGTCAGTTCTCCTCTTGGTCCACCAGTTTAAAGGTAAATCTCATCCTGAAACACCTCAGCAGAAGCACAGAATTAGGAATTAGTTTGATCTGGACACTGGCCCAACCAAATTAACAAAATAAGCCTTCATAGCTGCACTTTGCCTCTGTCTGAAGACATATCTCCTAAAATCATACTGTCTCCAAATAAGGTCATACTTCCCTAATTTAACACAATTATCCCAAGTATGACCTAAAACACTAGCTTTTTCCCCAGAAGAAAATGCAAAGTCTTCCTCCCTCCCTCTAATCTCTTGGAGCCTAGGCTGGCCTGGGATTTGCCACATAGCCAAGGATGAGCCTTGAACTTCTCATCCTGTCTCCACCCCTTGTGTGCTGAGATTACAGGCATATACCCCATGCCTGCTTTTATATGGTACTGGGAATGGAACCCACAGCTTTAAGCATGCTAGGCAAACACTCTACTGAGCCACATCCTCGGCCCGCTTTCCATATTCTCTTTAGACTCATCAAGCACTTCAACTGAAAAAGAGAGAGCTAAGGAGACAGCACAGTTGGTAAAGTACTTGCTACACAACATAGGGAATCAAGTTCAGATACCTAGCACCCATGTAAAAAAAGTGTTACATCTAATTCCAATGCTCAGGGACAGAGACAGGAGGATCCCTGGGGTGCTGGTTAGCTAGCCAGTCTAGACAAATTGGGGCGCTCCAGACTCAGTGGGAGACAGTGTCTCAAAAAATAGGGTGGAGCTATGATTGAGAAGACACCCAATGTTGAACTCTGGCCTCCATACACATGTGCACACGTTGTGAACACACAAAAAGGAAAAGAAAAATAGCCAGGCATGGTGGTACACGCCTGTAATCTCAGCAATCATGAGGCACAGGCAGGAGGATTGTTCCAAGTTAGAGGTCGGCTTGGTCTACATATCAGATTCAATCCAGTCCAGCCGAAGCTCAGTCTGACATACAGGCACTTAAGAAAAACTTGAATCAATAAATTCCCTCTTGGTAATAAAGATGGAAATTAGGCAACTGGCCCAAGATCAGACAGGAAAGCAGGATTCCAATTCAGTTAGTCTTCTGTGACTGCACTTTGGGCCATTAGATGGCATCCTGTATTGAGTGCATGGATACAAACACAGCACTTGCTCCAAAGGTAATGAGCATATTCAGAGCCACTCATGAATGATCATGGCCCTCTTAACAGTTTCAGATTATCCCAGATGACATGTTGCAAATATTAGCAGTTAAAAAATTTCTTTTTAGCTTTTTTGAGACAGGGTCTCTGTATTGGCAGTAGGCCTGGAACTCACTATATAGACCAGGCTGGCCTCAGTCTCAGATATCTGCCTGCCTCTGCCTCCCTAGTGCTAGGATAAATGGTGTGTGCCACCATACCAGGCTTGTCTTGTTTTGTTTGAGATGTGGTCGCAAGTAGAGAAGACTGGCTTCAAACTCACAATGTATCTGAGGAAAATCTTGAACTGATCCCCTTGCCTTGACCTCTCAAGTGCTGGGATTACAGAATTGCACCACCATGATTTGTGAATTTTTCATTATCTTTGAACAAATCATCCATGAATGCATTTGCCAAACACCTTGGTGGGGACACTAAGAGGGAGTTTCAGCAAAGCAGGGGAAATCTAAGGTTTTGTATGCTGAGTCTCAGCTTTTGGATTGCTAGAAAATTCTTGTATGCTAAGAATGCATTCCTGATAGTCAAAAGGATGTTGTCAGATTCAGAAGTGGGGCACAAATGGCTATTAAGCAGACTTAAAGACAACCCAAGATACATGGATCTGTAATATTCCAACTCTCCACAATCGTTAAAATTCTAATCAGTCTGTGGAATTTTCACAGGTGTGGCTTTTTTAGAGCACTTGAGTTCACAAAGCACAGTATCTTCTGTCTCCAACATTCCTGAAGTGGAAATTGAGAGTGGATCCCATATGTTTCTACCATTAATACTGGGTGACACGGGAAAATTTACTTAACTTTGGGTCTCAATTATAACCTTTTTTAAATTCCAATTTTGAGGCAGAAGCTAGCTTTCTTAAGTAGTAAGGGCAAAGGGCCCATGGTGAAAACTGCAAGTTGCTCACTCACGTTGCAGTGAAAATGGGCTTTCAGGTTAAAAAGAATGTTGTAGAGAAGGCAGTGAGGCGCAGAACACCAGGGATGAGAAATGAAGCTTGAACTCGTGGGGACCTGATGAGACACTACCTCTTAGTAGCAAGGTGTCAGCAGGCTGGTTGGTTAGCTTCTGTGAAACGCTCCCCTCCCCCCACTTGGAACATATGCTAGGCACTATTACTTATTTAATATTCTTGCTTTGAATGTAACTAAGTTGCTAGATGGCTTTTTTTTTTTTTTTTTTTTTTTTTTTTTGCTGTCCTGGAACTCACTATGTAGACCAGGCTGGCTTTGAACTTATAGAGATCCTCCTGCCTCTGCCCCAAGTGCTGGGACTACAGGCGTGCCCCACCACGCCCGGCCCAAGATGGCTTTTTTTAAGAAAAGATTTTTGTGTGGGTTGTTTTGCCTGCATGTATGTATGTGCACCGCCAGTGTGCTTGGTGTCCTCAAGGCCTAAAGATGGTGTTGACTCTCTTAGAACTGGAGCTACAGGCTTCAAATAGGTCCTGGAAACCGAACCTCAGTCCTCTGCAAGAGCAATGAGTGGTCCTAACTGCTGAGCCCTCTCCAGCCCAAGTAAGATGGCTTTGAACAAGCCTGCTCTGATCTCCTAACTGGTGCAAGAGCTTGACTTCTGTACTAAATATTTGTATCCTGGGAGTCCCCTTCACTTTTTCTTAAGCTTTTGTTTGTTTGATCTGTATGCATGTATTTCCTGCATACCTGCAAGTGCACCCATGTCGTGCAATGCCCACGAAGGACAGAAGGCAGCCTTGGATCCCCTAGAGGGGTTCCGTTCCCCTCCCTCCCTCCCTCTCTGGGTCCCTGGTACCTTCAGCTGGCCTGGCACTCGCTGTGTACACCAGGCTGTCATCTGCCTCTGCCTGAGTGTGGCTGGCACCAACGCACTTTCTTACTTTTCTGTAATTCTCAATAAAATTTGCCTTCACATCACTGTTACAAGTTCCTGTATCTTTAATTTTCATTGTCGTGAGACAACGACCTTGGAGCAATTACCTCCCAGGTTGATCTTTGGTGACTTGTGTCTGGTATCCGAGGTCCTAGAGTCAAACACTCTTGGGCCGTGAAAACTCCCAACTAAAAGTTCCTGCACCAATCTCATATGCTTTCTTACCATTGAGCTATACCCACAGCCCTAATTTCACTTGTTTTGAGACAGGGTCCCACTACAGTTGGCCATCCTCCTGCCTCCACCTCCCCAGTGTTGGAATTAGTGTGGTTGGCTTTCGGACCAATCTTTTTAAGATTCTCCAAACTCGAATCCTTGTAAAGCCCTGAGATCTGTTTCTTCGGCCTCTGCATTCTGAACAGCCTGGGAAGTATCTATTGGCTTAGTCTTCGACCTCCCATCTTCAGCTACGGAGCTCCTTGTCGCCCTCAAGTAGAAGCAAGAAGCCGGAAGCAGGGAGGAAGAAGATGGAAATCGCGGCCTTCCGCGACTCCCGGTCGCACAACCGATGATTCACGTCACCTAGTGTCCCCTACCCTCGGGCACTGCTCCTGTGAATGCAGACTACTACTTCCGGCCTGCAGCTCCCGGATTCCGGGAGCGACGCGGAAGTGACGTAATAAGCACGCGCCGGGCACAAGCCCGCGGCTCTGGGGGCGGGGCGTGAAGAGAGGGCGGGTGCGAGGGCGGGGAGCTGACTGACTGGAGTCGCGGGGGGGAGAGTGGCGGTCCAGAAGTCGGCGGAGCTGCGGACCAGGTTCGGAGGCACTGGGGCTTCGGGGCGCGTTCCCGCCCGGAGCAGGGCAGCGGCGGCGGCGTCCGACTGCGCGCGGAGTCCGGGCCGCTGCGTTCCGCCCCTCAACGGGTCCCGCCAGGCCGCGGGAGCTCTGCGCTCGGCCTCTCCGCCGCGGCCGAATTCTCCACAACCCAGTGGGACTCGGTCTCGGGCGACACGATGGTTCCGGGGCGCTTCCTGCCGCCCGGACACAATCTGCGTCCCCGGGGACACCTGTGGTCGCGGCTGGTCCTGTCTCGTCCAGACCCGCGTGGGTCTCGGGGCCGGTGCGGGGATTTGAACTCTTCCACCCGGTGGTGGAAGACGAGGTTTTGGGTGTGTGGGGGTGAGAAGTGTGAGTCCCAGGGCAGCCTAGTCTGCATATAGCAAAATCCTGTTTAGACAAGAAAAAAAGAATGAAAAAAGTCCTTGCGTCCGAGCTGTCTTGGAGGAAAGCCCAGGGGCTGCCCCTTAGTTTCCTGGCGGAAGTTCTCTCCAGAGAGGGAAGCACCTTGGAGACTAAGTCACCAGTAGCTGGACGTGTCTCAGAGCTGGTGACCAGTCTCTGTGGTTGGGAAATGTTTCACTGGATGTGATAGTGGGGATCAGACATTTTGCCAGAAGTTTACTGCATCACCAGGTTTGAAGCTAAGAGTCTGCCTGCATTCCTTCTTTCCTTCCTTCCTTTCCTTCCCTCGCTTTTTTCCCCCTTTCTTCTTAAAAAGAAGTTGATCCTTTAAATTTGCAAATCTAAAACTGCTTTTTAAAGAAAGACCCAATTAGTCACTCGTGCCTATCATTCCAGTACTTGGGAAGGTGAGGCAGAAGGATCTCAAGAAGTTGGAGATCAGCAAGGGCTAGATAGTGAGTCTGAGGCCAGTCTAGGCTACAGAGAAAATCCTGACTAGCAAAACAAAACAAAAAGCCTAAAAAAAAAAAAGAAAAGCCGGGTGTGGTGACGCATGCCTTTAATCCCAGCACTCGGGGAGGCAGAGGCAGGTGGATCTCTGTGAGTTCAAGGCCAGCCTGGTCTACATAGTGAGTTCCAGGACATCTGGGGCTACAGTGAGACCCTGTCTCAAAAAGACCAAAAAAAAAAGAGTCGTAATTAAAATTGTCTTGCCAGCCCGGAGTGAAATGGTGGTACACACCTTTAATCCCACCACTCAGAGGCAGAGGCTGAGACAGATATCTGTGAGTTTCAGGCCAGCTGAGGAAAAAAAAAATTGTCTTGCCAAAAAAATTTGCCAGAGATGCAAGCTTGTATTGTATTTTTTTAATGCACATAGTGACTTCCCATGTACTGGGCAAGGGCTGTTGTACTGAGCTGCATTTTCAGCTTCTATTAAGCTTTAAGACTTACTGTTTTGAGGCTTATTTATTAATTTATTTTTTGAAACAGTCTGACCATGCTGCCCTAGCTGGCTTGGATAGAATCTGATATGTAGACCAGGCTGACCTCTAACTTGGAACAATCCTCCTGCCTGTGCCTTGTGATTGCTGAGATTACAAGCGTGTACCACCATGCCTGGCTGGTTTTTTTGTTGGTGTGTGCACATGTGTATGGAGGCCAGAGTTCAACATTGGGTGTTTTCCTCAATCACATCTTCACCTTATTTTTTGAGACAATGTCTCCCACTCAATCTGGAGCTCCCCAGTTTGTCTAGACTGGCTAGCTAGCCAGTGCCCCAAGAATCCTCCTGTCCCTGTCCCTGAGCATTGGAATTAGAGATGCAACACACTTTTTTACATGGGTGCTGGGGATCTGAACTTGGTTCCCCATGTTATGTAGCGAGTACTTTGCCAACTGAGCTGTTTCCTCAGCCCTCCCTTTTATTTTTTATTTATTTTTTTGTTTTTTTGAGACAGGGTCTCCCTGTAGCCCCAGCTGTCCTGGAACTATGTAGACCAGGCTGGTCTCGAGCTCACAAAAATCTGTCTGCCTCTGCCTCCCAAGTGCTGGGATTAAAGGCGTGCACCACCATGCCTGGCCTTTTATTTTTTTTAATAGATATTTTATTTATTTTTATTTTATGTGTATAAGTATGCCTGCGTGTATGTGAGTGCACCGGTGTTGTGCAATGCCGTGGAGGTCAGAAGAGGGCATTGGATTCCCCTGGAACTGGAGTTAAGGATGGTTCATAGCCACCATGTGGGTGCTGGGAATTGAACCTAGGTCCTTTGCAAGAGCAGTCAGTGCTCTTAACCACTGAGCCATCCTGCCAGCTCCTTTATCTTTTATTTTGAGCTGTAGCCTCCCTATAGCCACAGCTGGCCTGGAACTGGCTATGTAGACCAAACTGGCCTCAATCTACCTGTTTCTGCCTCTGCCCCTGCCCCTGCCCCCGCCTCTGCCCCTGCCTGACTGCTGGATTAAAGCTATGCATCAACATAATTGACTTCAAAAAAAAGTTTTAATACAGATTTAAGCACAGACATAAAGGGAGAGTGAGACACACACTTAGCAAAAGCACAGTACACTTCTAAGACATGGATGTGGGCTTTTCAAGCGTTGTCAAGTTACTGGTTCATAATCAGAGTGTTAAGACATTGTCAGGATTTGAATTTTTATTTAAAAAAAATCACATTTCTGCTCTCTAGAAATTAGCCAGTTGAGGAGAGAGGCAGACAGTAAAAACACTTTAGGGTGTAGATGGATTGCCTAGTTTGCAACAAGGCCCAGGCTTCAATTACTGGCACTACAAAAAAACAACAAAAACATTTCAGTATAGTGTGGCCAGGGTGTGCGCTAAGATAGCCGAGGAGCTGGACAAAGCCCATCCTATTGGGTGTAGAGGGTGGAAGAAGTCAGGAAAAAACTTCCTAAAGTGTCTTGAAGAATGAGTAATAGACTAACCAGCTGGAGTGGGGATTTTGGAGGCAGGTGGATGTGTGGGAGGGGGAAACTAGGAGAAGAGCCACCTACCTGCAAGAAGCAGGGTGCTTAAGTAGAAAAGGAGATGCAGGAGGGAGGGGCTTTTCTGTACTAATGACAGAACCAGGGACAGTGAAGCAGGGTTAGCCCATGGTTGAGATGTAACCATACAGCAGCTCCCTCTCACACATTGGCTTCTGTGTGGCTGGTGATGGTTGTGCCTAGCATGATACTAGTTTAGGCACTGTCTCCCCTGGATTTCTTTTCTGTCCATTAAGTGTTTGAGTTGAACTGTGTACATTTGTACATTTACTGATTTTTTTTTTCCTTGTACTTGAGTGCTTTTATGTCTCCATTGTCAATCCATATTGGCTCCATGTGTGATTCACAGACTTTCCTGGTTCTGATGTTAGTTTTGGCTGGAGAAAGGTTTTAGTATGAGAACTATGATCCTGTTTCATGAACTCATCAGTCTTTGGCTGGAGACTGTAGTCTTTCATTCTTGACTGTGAGTTTAATTTCTGGCACCTGTTTTTATTGGCTGTAAAGTCAGCTGTAGCAGAGGCACCCATGTAACCTAACGCCAGTGATTCAGCAGAAATGCTACTGAGTGGCTTCTTTGCCCATCCATAAAGTTACCACACTAAAATGTTTCACGGGATAGGCCAAACATTTTGATAATCTTATCAAATGCTGGCATCTGTCATAAAACACTGGAAGTAATATGTCCATGAGGAGCAACTGCTGATTTCTGGCTTTCCCACTGAAATATTTAACTGGTATTTTTGTTTGTTTAATGTTTGGATAAAGTTCTTAAAATGCTTTAAGATAAGGCTGTACTCTAGCCTAGTGGGGTGATCATCACCTGTAATCCCAGCCACTGAAGGAGGCTGAGGTAGGATTGCAAGTTCCTGACCAGCCTGGGCAACAACTTACTGAGACCCTGTCTCAAAATTAAAAATAAGGACTGGGATCTAGCTAGATGGTGGAGCACTTGCCTAGTATGCTGGGGGCCCTTGGGTTCAGTCCCTAGCACTGCGCACATACACATGCACACACAATATGCACAGTGTGTGTTTTTAAAGATTTATTTCTAATTAGGCACTCTTGTGCACACGAGTGCAGATGCCCTTGGAAGCCCTGGAGCTGGAGTTTTTGTTGTCTGTGAGTCTCACTACATGGATTTTGGGGACCAAATTCTAGTCCTCTGGAAGAGCAGCAAGTGTTCTAGGGGCTGGGTGTTTTTTTTTTTTTTTTTTAAAGACAAGGTCCCACTATGTAGCTCTGGGTAGCCACCATGCTCACTGTCAGTGGATTTTGGTATGTCTCTTGCTACTGCCTTTCAGCAGAAGAAAATAAAATGTCTTCTGGTATCCTTACCTGTAAAGTTGGTTGTTTGTAATTTGTGTTTTTAATTTTGAAGTAGCTCTATAGTTTTTTCTCCGACAAAGCATTTAAATTGTTTTTGTTTTTTTGAGACAGGGTCTCACTAGCTCTGGCTGGCCCGGAACTTGCTTTGTAGACCCGACTGGCCTTGAACTTAGAGATCTGGCTCTGGAATGCTGGAATTAAAGCTATGTACCACCATGGTTGGCAACTGTTTAATTGTTTGAACCTATATTTACTTTAGTGGCCTAAAAATTCCAATGGTTCTTTATGTGAAAATCTTGCTGATAAAGCTTTTATCTTTATCTTTTTTTTAGTTAGTATAAAAATAATGGGTTTCACACATTTTCATACATATGTATCACTGAACTTTGCTCTGAACTTGGAGTATTTTTACAGCAGTGTACATTTATAATTTTCTCTGTGTTCTCAGGTTAAAAATACAAAGTGAAAGCGTTTTATTTTTGTAGTTCCTCTAAAATGGTGTGTAGAATTTTCTAATTTTAGAGATAATATTTGCTACAGCAGGTTTGTTTTTTTTTTGCATTAGAAGGCATCTTGGAGCACATTTAAAAGATTCCTTTAGAAATTGAACTCATAAAATGTTTATTAATGGATGAAAATCTCTTGCTGTAGTTGTCTTGTTACAGAAAGGACTTATAATGACTTGTAAAGATGTACAGTGTGCTACTGGTAACAGCCAGGTAGATGTACGGGAGAGTAATTCAGAGTAGATAGAAGAGTAAGATGGAAACAGGGAACAGCTCTCTAGAAAGTTCTGGAACTGAAGTATGAAGGGTTTCTAGAGGGCCACAGAATTGGCTTGGCTTTTTAATAGCCAATTGACAGAGAAATAAAATCGTTTACAGGGTTCAGTGACTTTGAAAGAACATCAGTTTCTCTGTTGGCTTTGCAATGTCTCCTGGCCCAGGCCAAACTCTCAGCTCATCCTTAAGTAGATTGAGCCTGCCTTTTTGTAAGGACTCTGCTGTGCTGAGTGTCTTTGAAAGTCTCCTTGTCTCATGTGACCCAAAGTGTTTAGATCTTGAAATGGATTAAGTCTTTGAAAGTCTCCTTGTCTCATGTGACCCAAAGTGTTTAGATCTTGAAATGGATTAAGTCTTTGAAAGTCTCCTTGTCTCATGTGACCCAAAGTGTTTAGATCTTGAAATGGATTAAGTCTTTGAAAGTCTCCTTGTCTCATGTGACCCAAAGTGTTTAGATCTTGAAATGGATTAAGTTGAGGGTCTGTTTTAGACAGCCTAGATGAGTAGTAGATCTCAGGATGAACTTAGCCCTCAGCTTTGATCTTGTTCTATTTGACTAGCTCCTTGAAAGTATTATCTTGTGTTGCTGGACAGTCACAGCTTTGTGCTTTG